TTGTCTCTGGTCTTTTAATATGAGCCACTTCACATGTGCGAGGTGGTATCTCATTGTGGTTCTGATCTGCATCCTCTGATGATGTGTGATGGGAGCATTTTCCATGTGTCTGTGGCCATCTGTATCTTCTTTGGAGAAGTGTCCACTTAGCTTCTCTCCCCATGTTCTGATTGGGTTGTTTTTTGCTTTTTGAGTTATATGTTATTCATGTATCTTGCATGGGTGATATGCAAATATTTTCTCCCACCCCATAGGGTGTCTACATTTAATGACATTTTCCTTTGCTGGGCAGGGGCTTGCAGTTTGATGTGTCCCCACTGGTCTCTCTTTTCTTCTGTTTCCTTGGAGCACAGATGATATTGAGGGTAGTGAGTCTAATGTGTAGGACACAATATGGTGTCCATGTCATTGTACATTTGTCTAAAACCCACAGTGTGGGCATCCCCAAGAGTGACCCCAGCGTGCAGCCATGGGCCCTGAGAGATGATGATGAGCAGGTTCTCATGTGGCAGACGTGCTGCTCTGGGCTTAGCATGTGATTAGGACATGATGCAGGTGAAGAGATTTTAGTAGGATTTAATTTCGAAAATATTATTTCATGAGCAGAGAAGAAAATTTTATACTCAAGAATTTACGTAGCTAAATAAGTAACAACCCCTTCCCACCACAGCCCTCTAATGAGCCAGATCATGTGCTCAAAACCAGTTAGCAATTTATCATTTCTCTTTCTAGAAAAATATATCTAGGTATATGTTTAGTCACTAGTGTGTATACTACTATATAAGTACAAGAGTTTAAGACAGAGTGGGAGAGATGATTGCAAATCAAATTATATATCTTATAAAGGACTTGTATCTAGAATTTATATTATAAATGAAGTGACCTCTCGTCACTGCTGGCAGGATATGATGACCCAGTCACAAGGGAGGATCTGATAGTTTCTTTTAAATCCAAACACAGACCCACCGTACAGTCCAGGGAGCACTGTCCCAGCTATTTACCGAACTAATCTGAAAACTTGTATTTGCAAAACAAGCCAAACCAAAAACCCGTATGGAAGTAAATGTTATAGCAGAGCCCCACTAAGTGTGAGCTGCCCATAGTGACTTCCTTCCAAAGACAACAATAACTAAAGCAGGAAAAATAAAAAGAGGGCATTTGTACATTTGAAGCATCGATGGAGAACAGCCTCAAATGGAGGCCATTGTGCCCCAGCAGCTCTGCTCACAGGCATCATCAGAAGAGGAAAGTTTGCAAAACTGTCAGCCAGAGGCACTAAGGAGACGTGGTTGGAACTTCACGTGGTGTCCTGGGTGGGATGTCAGAGCACGAAAATAGCATTAGGAAAATTAATGAAATCCAAATACAGCGCAGAGTTTAGTGAAAGTGCCTCAATATTGCTTCCTTAGCTGCTCAAATGCACTGTGGTCACGTGAGATGTTAACAATTTGGAAATGATGTGGGTTATATAGGAACTCTCCTGCCTTTGCTACTTTTCTGTAAATCTAACTATTTTTCAAAATGTTGTTTAAAATTAAATTGTAAATAACATTTCTAGCCGGCAGGATGAGCAAAGGGCAGGTTCTTTATGATCCGGCAGACCGGGTAAAGGAGTCGTCCTGGAACTCTCAGTGGGTTTCTCAGGCTTTTATTGAGCTTTACATGCATTGCAGCAACCAGGTACATGGCAGGCAGGAGTGTCAGGGGGCCATGGGGCCTGCCCCGAGCAAGTCTCCACTCTGGGCTTCTCTGGCCTCTTTCTCTCTCCTGCCTCTTTCCTGCTTCTCTGCTCTTGGTGACTGCTTCAACACGCCTCCCATGGCCCACAGAAGTAAACAAGTCAGCTTGCAACAATGTAACAATGTCAGTGGCCCATCAGGCAGGGCAATCCTAGTGGTTGGAGGGCAGAAAAGCCTGAAAAACTACGCTGCACATTTTGAAAAATAGCCCTCAACAAAGTCATAGGTTGTAGAAGGAAAAATGATGAACTTCCCAGTTTTCCCAGGTATTGCTTTCAAGGGACTGGAGAGTGGACTTCTGGACACCTCACACACAGGGCAGGCTCCAGAATCTCCTCTCCTCTGAGCCCTGCTGCTCTGACTCCTCACAGAGCATCTCACCCCAGGACGCCGCCCTCCAGGACCCCCAACTCTGCCCACCTCAGCCCCCGCCCCGTCCTGGCGGCTCCACCAGAATCCGGAGCAGCGCGGCAGCGCCCCCGTGTGGCCACAGGGCTGAGCACAGGAGCCCAGAGCCGCCCTTTCTCCTGCTCAGCCAGACCCTCCTAGGCTCCCTGGGCTCCCAGCGGCAACACAAGTTTCACTGTCAGGTTAGGGGCCTCAAAATGACCCCCTAGTGAGTAATTATGGGTACAGGTCTCAGGGAAGAGCCAGGTGTCTAGGTCATAACAGTAGCTCCCCCAATTCTGGGTCCCCAAATTATACAGCTTCCCTCAATCTCTTGGATGGGAACTTGGATTCCAGAGTCCCTGTTATTTGTTCCTGCTTCCAGAGATGAAAGTGCCTCTTCCTGAGCACCAGCCCTAAATTCTCCATCCCCTAGGGTGAGGGGAGAGCCCAAATAAGAGACTCTCAGGCTGTTCTAGACCTTCTGAGTCTTCATGAGCGTCCAGGTGACTACTGTGCTCACTGAAGTGGGGCTGCCTGGTCTCCATGTCTTCTCCACGTGCGGTCAGACTGTGTAGTTGGCTCTGGGCGGGGTGTCTGCTCCGATTGCTCATCACTGTGGAATCTGGAGTTTAATTCTGTTCCTTTCTCTCGCTGAGTCATCACATTCTGGGTGACCCTTACATGCTCAAGACTTTAAATATTATTGACATCACATCACCTCCCAGATCTATTTCTTACCTCAGACATTTCACCTGTGCCCCAGACTTGTCTGTCCAATTGCCAACATCATTTTCAATTGTAATAGAAGTCTCAACTTTCCTAAAGTGAATGCCTGGGATGCCCACATATGTGTCTTCTGGGGTCTCCCCATGTCACTGAGGCTCCACCTCTCTGCCTGCACAGTCTGAGACACTGAGTGTCATCCTTGACCCCCTTCTCACAGCCCAGGAATAGGGAACACTGTAAAGTCCATGTCTAAATATACACAATCTTATCACTGCCTATTATTTCCCTGCTCACCCCCCACCGAAGCCACCAACCTCTCTGTCCTGGGACCTGCGCTGGTTTCCTCCATTTCTCTTCCCACCTCTCACCCTTCCATGCTGCACAGCAGCCAGACTGAGGCTACCAGAGAGAAGTCCCACAGGTGTGTATCTCTTCAGAAGTTCTTGTCATTCCACATCTTAGTGAAACCCTCCCAATATCCTGAAGGCCTGCATGATCTGGGTGCACACAGATCGCATCTCAATTGGCCTCTGCTCAGCCCTTGGTCTCCTTGCTCATGTCAGTCACACAGACACATTCCTGCTCGGCATCTGCACTGGAGGTTCTCCTGCCTGGACTGAACTTCCCTGCCCATCCTTGTGGGCAATGTGTCCATTAGACTTTTTCTCAAAGGTCACTTTAGTGAGACCCACACTAACCATGCTGACAAAAAAACCATCCTGTCCCCACACACTGACTCTGGTCACCTTCCCACATCCCATACCCACTTCTAACCAGACAGTGGTGGTTTACTGTCTGATCTACTGTCACACAGTCCCCAGTCTCCCCTCCCCACTAGGACACACTCTCCATAGGCCGCAAGTTGTGCATGTTTTCAGTTTATGGAAGTTTCCTAGTTGCATAAACAGTCAGTCACAGACCTGGTGCAACAGTTATTAGTTGTGTTATCAGTGTAGAGCACCTCCCTGTTCTAGAAAGACAGAGTCTTTACGAATGTGGCACATTACACAGATTTTTTTTTAAAAATATTATGTATTTACTTATACAAGCACTGGGTACAGTCAGGAGCGTGGGAGGGTGAGAGAATTTACCAGAGCCAGAGTGTGGAACAGAACAGGCAGACTGACGAAATACACTGCTGAGGGGAGCAGTGGGTGCGGCAGGAGAGGTCTGTTGCGCCATGGGGACCCTTGCAAGTGGCCGGGTGGTGCTGCAGAGGCCGTGGGCAGCCTCAGAACCCAGCGCTCAACCGCTGCACCACCAGGGGAGGCCCAACACAGTTCTTTTGAAATGAGGTTCCTAGTTTGTTTTTTTTTTTTTTAAGATTTATTTTTTTGTGTAGAAGAACTGGGTGTAGGTCAGAAGTGTGGAGGTGGGATTGGTGAGAGGATTCACCAAGGACAGAGTGGGGAGCAGAACAGGCAGACTGACTGAAATATACTGCTGAGGGGAGTAGCAGGTGAAACAGGAGTGGCCTGCTGGGACATTTGTGGGTTAGTTCCCCTGCTAGGATCTAACTAGGGGTGTAGTGGTGATAGCGTTGAGATTTACCCCTGGGCCACCAGGGAGGTCCAGGTTCCTAGGCTTATGGGCCCTATTTTCAGTCAACTATGAAGGTAACTGACTCCATCAATCCATGGGTCTCGAATAGCACCAGCACTGGGGTTACTACATTTAAGAGGAGGGTTACAGGGAGAAGTTGTAGAGAAAAATAGAAATCTATCATGACTTTATCTACATCCATCAGGAAATTATCAAATCTTCCTCTCCAGTAATACCAAGATTTTGTCTTTAAAAAGAGAGTTGGGAAAGGTGGAAATAATAATTCAGAAAACAGTCCTAAAATGAGGTAAAAAATTAGATGAGTCTGAAAATTCATCTCACCAGACTCCTGTGTCAAGGGACACCCTGTGCCTTGTGGGGACAATGACAGATGCTCCTGCTGCTGTCAGAGACAGGGACCAAAAGCACATGAGGCCTGTTCTCTAAACATGAGAAAGAACAGGCATAAAGCAATATAAAACTCAAAGACTCAAAATAGAAATACATAGAAATTTGAGGGCAGAAGGCTAGACCCTGAGCTGAGTCTGGGCTGACCTGGCCACACAATCACTCCCTGCCCAGACATGAGCACAAGGCCAGGTCGGGTCCCTGTGATCACAGGGCCTGCTGGGACAGGTGCTCCTGAAGGACAAGGACAAAGGAGCAGAGAGATGACCCCTGAGGAGTGACCATGTCAAAACCCACAATGCACTGAGCAACGACTAGATACAGGCTCCGTCCCTCTCAGCTCCTACAGCCTCTCCTGCCCCCACCTGCAGAGACACAGCACAGCAAACACATGATTCTGGAAAGTTTCCCATTTATTTCACTCAAATTTTAGGGATCATTTTTATCAGCCCCCAAACCCATCAGGTAAGATCACATAAAGTAATTTCAGAACTCAATTATTATTTCAAGAGGGAAGTAGTTACTGTTCTTGAAGAAAACACAAAGACAGGGGTAGAGGCAGATGAAGCTGCTTTTGCTGCAACAGGGAAATCATCAAGGAGAGACACAGGTCAGTGTGGGGAGGGGCCTGGGCTGGCCCAGTCTCCCCACCTCCTCACATTATCTCATAAGAACAGAGACACATTCCGATGCCTTTTGCAGCAAAGGAAGCCAGGGATCTTGAAGTTACGAAGTGGAGGTGAGAAGAAATCCTGCATCACTCAGCCCCGACAAGGCAGCTGGCTCACACTGTGAAGGAAAAAGATCATAAACAATTTCAAAGAAAAACGTACGTGTTGACATTCTCAACAGTCCACCGCATCCTCAGAATGTCCACCTTCCCCATAACCTGGTCCCATCCTCTCTGCCCCAGCCCCTCCCACTGCAGGCCTCCAGGGTTTCACCTTTAGCAGCTGTGAGAGACACATCAGAGCCCTGGGAACTGTCACTGCCTGGGGGAGAACAAAACAGAACCTGGTCAGAGCCACAGAGAGATGAGACCACAGGAGGGAATGATGAGGGTGACTCCCCCATGGGCTCCATCTACACTGTCCCCATGAGCTCAGAGACCAAAACCCTGATCCACACTTACCTGCAGCCTGAGTGTAGCTTCCTCCTTTTCCACCTGTGGGAAGAAACATTATAATGAGACCAGGGAGGAGTCAGGCCATTAAGTCCTAAAGGAATCTCCTAGTCCTGTACCACAGGAAAGTTTGTAGAACTGTGGCTGGACACTAAGGACAGGACCAGATATATGAAGAGAATCAAGGAGGAGGGACTGGACCAACTGCTTCCTGGGGTCTGCCTTAGCAGGCACCTTCCCCTGTGCCATTTGCTGGAATCAGGGCCCCATCACTGGAATTATCAAGGTAAACAACCTTCTACTCATTTTCAAAAATGCTTTACAAAAGACGGTTAACAATCAGCTCCAGACTGGGCAACACAAGTGTGTGAGTGGTACTTCCCATTACCAGGCAGAGCAAGTTCTATCTGTGCCCTGAAAGTCTGCAGTAGACAAGACCTCCCACTCCCTTCTCTACCTGAGCGCTTCTTCCTCCACATCACAGCTGCAGCCACGGCAGCTCCAGTGAGCACAAGAACTCCAAGGAGAACCAGGCCAGCGATGATGCCCACGGTGAGGATGGAGGACTGAGGAGGGGGCACTGGAAAGGAAGGGAAGGAGAGACCTTAAGCCCCAAGCCTCCATCTTATGCTCTGAAGGGCTCCAGAAGGGCTTCTGATGCCCCTGAGAAGCTCTGTGCCCACCCCCCTCCTTACCCCAAGTCAGGACTCGGGGCTTCTCCATCCCATGCTGCACGTGGCACGTGTATCTCTGCTCCTCCCCAGAAGGCACCACCACAGCCGCCCACTTCTGGAAGGTTCCATCCTCCCCAGGCCTGGTCTCCACCAGCTCTGTGTCCTGGGTCAGGTCCTCCCCATCTCGCTGCCAGGTCAGGGTGATGTCCGCAGGGTAGAAGTCCAGGGCCCAGCACCTCAGGATGACCTTCTGGTCAGAGGTGGGGTGGTGGGTCATGTGTGTCTTTGGGGCAACTGTGGAGAAGTGTGAGAACTTTCACCCTCTGGGTTTTTCCCTCATGGACCCTGAAAACGCCTCCTGTGACCATCCTCAGAATGGACAGAACAGTGGGTTTAGAAGAGGAGCAGAAAATCAAGAAACCAGCCTAGTCTGGGGTAATCTCTTATTCCTTAGAAAGATCTAGAATTAGGGCCTCCCTGGTGGTGCAGTGGTTGAACGCTGGGTTGCGAAGCTGCCCGCAGCCTTGGCAGCGCCGGTTTGCTTCCCGGCCACCAGAGGGAGGGTCCCACATGGCGGCAGACCTCTCCTGCCGCCCGCTGCTCCCCTCAGCAGTGTACTTTGTCAGTCTGCCTGCTCTACTCTCCTCTCTGGCTCTGGGGAATTCTCTCACCCTCCCGTGCTTCTGACTGTACCCAGTGCTTGTATAAATAAATAAATAAATAAATCTTTAAAAAAAATAAAGACCTAGAATTACTGTGAAACTCTGAATAGGAGGAAGCAGTTCTCTAAGGACTGTTAAGGGGAAAGGATGTCCTAAAGCTAATTCCATACAGGCTTTGTGGACTCCACCCCCTCCCCAAGCCAAAGCCAAAGGCACTGGGAACTCCAAATCCCATCACCACCAAAGGGAAGGTGGCTGGGACCTGAGGGTGGGGTTAAGCAGCCAGGTTGGTATAAAGCCGGACACGTGGGCTTTGGAGGGGTCCCCCATTTTGGCTCCCTGCCAGCTCGCAGGTCCGGCCAGCTCTGAGAGTGACTTTGGTTTCCAGGTCGTCGGATCGGGTAGGACGCATTAAAGACTTTATTTCCCTATTTTCTCCCTGAGTTGTACATTTTCCTTATTTTCTTTTTCTCTTGTAAATAAACCTTTTATTAACCTTTTGTGTGTGCCTGTAGTGGAGTATTCATAAGTCCCTTTAAAGCGCGCGGGTGAGGACCCACAGCCAGGAACCCGTTTATATCGGGCTGCTCCGTAACAGTTGGAGAGCACAGACTTTTGGGGACAGACCTAGGCACTCAGAAAAGCAGGAGTCAGATTCCCCGCTCTGTCTGTGGTGAAACCTCTTGTTCCCCACATCTCTGGCTTGTGCCCCCGTTCTTGCATCCATAAATAAATATTAAAAAGAAAAAGAAAAATGTGCTCCGACCAATAACAAGACCCTGAAAGAAAAACTGTTGGCTCCCAAATGGCTGCCCAGTCAAAATGGTGATTTCGGGGCTGGTCTCCCTCAGGTTCAAGAGAGACCAAAGGGAGTCAGGAAACCCGGGGGCTCCTCCTCCCCTGACCAGAGAGGGGGCGCTGCTGCGACCCTGACGCCACCCTCCCCGCGGTGCCGGCCTGAGGGGGTTGGGAGACCTCGCGGCTCCTCTTACCTGAGCGCTGCAGCGTCTCCTTCCCGTGCTCCAGGTACCTGCGCAGCGACTCCACGCACCTGCCCTCCAGGTAGTTCCTGACGCGCTCCGCCTCTCCAGCCTCCTCCCACTTGCGCCGGTGATCTGAGCCGCCGCGTCCGCCGCGGTCCAGGAGCGCAGGTCCTCGTTCAGGGCGATGTAGTCGGCGCCGTCGTAGGCGAACTGCCAGTACCCGCGGAGGAGGCGCCCGTCGGGCCCCACGTCGCAGCCGTACATCCTCTGGATGGTGTGAGAGCCTGTCCCCGCCCGTCACCCGCGGTCACCCCGCGTCACCCTGTCCCCCCGCCCCCGCCGGGAATAAACCGAAACTGACGCCGGAACCCCGCGGGGAACGTCCCGGGGCTCGTCCCGGGTCGAGGGTCCGGCGGGTCCCCCTGCCTCGGGGGACGCTCGGGCCGGGGTCTGGGGTCCCCGCCCGCCCGCGGGGGTGGGGTCGTGAGCGCCCCGGGCCCGCCCCGCTCACCGTCCTCGCTCTGGTTGTAGTAGCGCAGCGCGGTGCGCAGGTTGCCCCGGTACACCGCCATGGCGTTCCTGGAGATCTGCGTCTCCCGCGCCCAGTACTCCGGCCCCTCCTGCTCCATCCAGGGCGCCCGCGGCTCCTTCTTCTGCTCCGGGGAGTCGCTGTCGAACCGCACGAACTGCGTGTCGTCCACGTACCCCACGGTGATGAAGCTGAAGCGGGGCTCCCCGGGGCCGGGCCGGGACATCGCGGTGGAGAAATACCTCAGGGAGTGGGAGCCTGGGGGCGGGAGGGAGACCCGGGCTGAGCCTCCGCCCCGCGCGGATCCCCCCGGGGAGATGGGGCGGGAGGGGAGGGGGCGAGGGGGCTCCTGAGATTGAATTATGGCGGCCGACGTGAAGGGTCGATACTCAGAAAAGTAAGAGGAGGCGGAGGGGGGCGCGGGGGCGCTGGGAGGGGCAGAGCGGGGTCAGGACAGGTTGGGGTCAAGGGGGAACAAAAGGGCCAGAGGCGGGGGAGACTTGCTTTTTCCGGGGTCTTAAGCCCCGCGCCGGGGTTCCTCCCTCCTCCGTGGCCTTTTCCCTCCCGGCCCGCACTCACCGGCCCAGGTCTCCGTCAGGGCCAGCGCCCCTGAGAGCAGCAGCAGGAGAGTTGGGGGCCTCATCACCTGAACTCTTTGGGCAAGAATCTGAGTCCGGATTGGTCGGGGGAGACTTTATAACTGGACCCGGAGCTGCTGATTGGCTGCTCTGGAGACCTCCAGGCAATGGGGAGTGAGAACTGGGGTGAATCACCAGTATCCAGGAAGGAGGACCCAATATAGGTTGTGAGAAGAAGTGAAACTGGGAAGGTGGGGAATCCCCAACAGTCACCTTCCAGCCCCAGACAGTACCCTGGGGACTGAGACCCTGAGAGCCACACCCGAGACCTGGGACTTTGCCCGCCCCCAGACTTTGTCCCACCGTGTCTCTGAGTCCAGGCCCAAGGACTGTGTCAGTGATTTTCAAGCATTTTCCTTTCAGGATCTCTACAGTTTTACAAATTAGCGAGGACCCAGTATAATTTTAAAAGTTTATAGCTCTCAGTATTTACTAAACGAGAAATAAAACCAATATAAAGTTGTTTTTATTTAATTTAAAGTAATATTAATAGCCATTGCATGTTCGAAAGGTCTTAATGAAATATAGATATTTATGAAAATAATCACAGCAATAAGTGGATCTTTTACAGCTTATATTTTTGCAATTGTCTTTTTTCTCTGTCTCATTAGAAGCATGTTGGATGTCATATTTTCCCCTGCATTGACTCTGCTGTTTTGGTTGGTCAATGACAAATTATACAGCCTCACTGAAATATGTGACAAAAGCATTTTAATTACCTTTCAGATAATTGTGAATATTCAACTTTGTTACACATCGACAAGAAATTGAAACTGTATAGATTCACTTGTAAAAGTGGTTTCAAATGTTATTTGAAAGTGAAACAATATTGAATATTTTCTTTTCTGTTATTTTAATTCTGTAGCCCTCCCTCTCTTTTTTTTTAAAGATTTATTTATTTATACAAGCACCGGGGTACAGGCCAGATGCTTGGGAGGGTGAGAGGATTCACCAAAGACAGAGCCGGGAACAAAACAGGCAGACTGACGAAACACACTGCTGAGGGCAGCAGTGAGCAAGACAGGAGAGGTTTGCTTGCCATGTGGGTTTCTCCCCTGCCTGCAGGGATAGAACTTGCGCTGCAGAGGCTGCAGACAGCTTCACAGTGCTGTGCTCAACTGCCTGCGCCACCAGGGAGGCCCACCATAGGCCTCTCTTGATTATTAATCTAGAACTACTACATGATTTTAAAAAATGATGCTTGTTTTATTAGGTTATATAATCTTTGTTAATTATTCAAAAGTTGAAAATCATATATTTTTTTTATGTTCCAAATTTCCCAAAAGAAAAGTGAGTGGCTATTGGAAGTTGTCAAGTATATAGTGATGGGACGCAATTTTCCAATACCTGGTTTTCACTTGGAGCTTGTATCTTATCCAGGCAGTTAATTACTATCAGTTGCCAACTGTCAGTGGATTTTCTTAAAGGGACAGACATTCATTTTCTAGAAAGTGTGTACGGGTTGACCAAATCTAAATACTGATAGTGTTTGTCATTCATCCCTTCAAGTAAAGATGGTAGTGCCCCTCCCTCCCCCCAAAAAAACCAGTCTATTCACCTCATTCAAATTAGTTTCCTTGGGAAATAGTACTTTGGATTGTGACAGAAGTGACTTTTATGTACTTTATATTATCAGAAATCAGATTTATTTTGTCTCCAGATTCTTTCTCTCAGGCCTGAGGAGATGCTCCCTGCTTTCCTAAGCCTCCCTGGCTAGGACCCCACAGCTCTTCACATTGGACAGGGTGGTCTCTGTCCACATCCTGCTCCCTCCCTCCTGCTCCCTCCTGGGCAGCCCTTCTCTGGGCTCAGGTGCTGGCCCTGCCTGGGGAAGGTTGACAATGATGGTCATCACCAAAGTTGTGACCTTATTTCATTCAACACTTTGCTATTTCTTATTGTTAACAACAGTTGACAGTGCTTTCACTCTCTCCTAGTCTGAAATGCTTTCCTTCTCTGGCTCCTGAGAGGTATCCGTTTTCTTTAAAGGTTGGTACATTTTGAGGAAGAACTAAAATCATAAAATGACCTGACAAAAAAAGATGCACACATCACACATTGAGCTAACCATAACTATAATGTTATTATATTGGGAGGACGTATCAATAGTGAATCAGTTAAAAAGAAAAACAGCTTGTCCCTGAGATTCAAGAAGTGAGGCCCATAGAAGGTGGGGACATCTATCTCCTTAAAAAGTCTTGTAGAAGTGTGGGCTTTTAAAACTATGTACAGATGTCTAGTTGCAAAAAATTAAAAGACAATCTAGTAGGTGAGATAATGGACTCACTGAGGATCTGACTGAGTGCCATAAACATGGAACAGTGGTGGAGGAAGACATGGGGTTGGGTAGTGGATTTTATGGGGGGAGTTTGAACTGGTTTAATTGTATTTTTTGAATGGGAGCTATTATGGCATGTGTGTGTGGCAGAGAGCATGACCCACAGGACAGTGGGATATGATCACCCAGGGGACAAAGGGGCCTGATCCTGCACCCAAGCTGAGGGGTGATCTAGACAGGAGGGGTCTTCTACTATCACTGGGGTGAGGGCAGAGGATCCAGGTGCAGAGGATCCATGGTGCTGTTCTCATCTGAGTACTTCATATTTTAAGAATGAAAAAGAAATAAACTGATAATATAAAAGTGGAGGGAGGGAGGAGCTCTGAGGGGCTGAGTAGGGGGAGGAAGTGAGAAATAGCCATCTCAGGAGGGGTGTGAGTGAGCTGACCTGGGTAATGGCATTTGGAGGTGACAGGGCTGAGGCTACTGGGCTCTGCTCAGTGAGAGAGAGAGAGAGAGAGAGAGAGAGAGACTGACTCAGGTAGCAGCAGCAGGATCTTCAACAGACAAGGAAAGAATGAAACATAGTTTCTCCAAGTGTAAGAACAACAGTTATTTTTACTGTACCATTTGTAACATTATATATATATATACACATATATATATAAGGATTTATTTTTATTTATGTATATAAGAACTGGGGTGCAAGCCAGAGGTGGTAAGGGTGAGAGGATTCACCAGAGACACAGTGGACAACAGAAGGAGTATCTACTGAAATACACTGCTGAGGGGAGCAGCAGGTGAGATAGGAGATGTTTGCTGCGCCATGTGGATAGCTCCCTGGTTGGGGATCTAACTCGGTGGTGATAACCCTGAGATAACCTCTACACCATCAGGGAGGCCCCACATTTTTATTTTTTTACAATGAATGTACATTATAGCACAAAAATTCTGCATTATACATATAAATTTAATCAGAATAAAACATCTTCCTGAATTTTAAAACGGAAGGTGGATGTTGGTTGTCCCACTCAGCGCAGAGCTGAAGGGCTGGGCTCCGAGTCTGCTCTGGGCAGGGCCCTTACAGCCCTTCCTCCCTCCTCAGGGTGCTGTTCTCTGTGGGGCCCATACAGGGTCTCCCCCTTGTCTTCTGGGTAAGGCCATTATTACTCTACTGTCAGTTCTGATACTTTAAGTAAGTGGCATTTTTAGCTATTTTCAGCGGGAAGGGATGTCTGTCCATTCAGCCCAAATTTGTCAGGTGGAAATTCTAAGGCAAAACAGTTCAGTGACAAGATGGCGGGTCCTAGAGTAGAGGGTCAGAGTCTGAGAACACGCCACTGAGCGATCTGTGGAGTCATGGTGTCAGGGATTGTCATCTAATTAATTTTTGATAATAAATCATTTTGATAATAACTAACATTTATTATTTGTGACACACAGAGGGTTCATAAATATTCAAGAACATACACAATACGTAAGTCACATCATCCTGTCATCAACCAAGTCCCTCTACTCTGAACCCCTGCAGTCAGCAATTCCTCATTTCTCTTCCCAGAAAATTCTGTGCATTGATGTGAGTGTTAGGTCTGTAAAAGAGCTGGGGCCACAGACTGGGAGAAAGTATTTGCAAAACAAGGCTCTGATATAATACATGTTTCAGAATATGCATGGAACCCTTAAAATTCAACAAGGAACAAAAAACATTTAAATTGAACCAAACTCTGAACCGTTTCCAAGGAAGCTATATTGATGGCAAGCAGGCAAATGAACAGATACTCACCATTATATATAAATGATTTGCTTATATATGCATATATAAGTACAAATGCAAATTAACACAAAGACATGCAATACACACCTTTAATTTGCCCTAAATCCAAATACTCGTACTGTAGCCCCTCTTTACCCATGTGGGATGTATTCCAAGACCCCCAGTGGATGCCTGAACCACCTATAGTATGGAGCCGTGTATACAGATTTCCCTGCACAAACATACCTATGATAGGTTTACTTTATAAATTAGGCACGGTGTGATTAACAACAATTCATTTTAGTTAGTGTCTCTTTTGTTGTACAGAAACTTTTAGTTTGATGTACTCCAAGCTGTTTCTCTTCTTTGTTTTCCTTGCTTTCAGAGATGAGTCCTCAAAGGTGTTTCTAAAGTTTATGTCACAGAGTGTTTTGACTATGTTTTCTTCTGTATAGTTTATGGTTTCAGTCTTACATTCAGGTCTCATCCATTTTGAGTTGATTTTTTTGTGTATGGTGTGAGGTAGTAGTCTAGTTTCATTCCCTTGCACGTGGCAGTCCAGTTTTCCCAGAAACATTTATTGAAGAGACTTTACTTATTCCATTGTGTATTTGTCCTTTGTCATAAATTAGTTGACCATATATGTGTGGTTTTATTTCTGGGCTTTCATTTCAATTCCATTGGTCTGTGTGTCTGTTTTTGTTTCGATACTGCACGTTTTATTATAACACTTTGTATATATAGTTTGGAATCTGGGAGATTAATGCCTCTATTCTCCCCACTTCGAGTCAGAAGAGCTTTCGCTATTTGGAGTTTTTTGTGGTTCTATATGAATTTCATCAATATTTGTTCCATTTCTTTGAAGAATGTCATTGCGATTTTTATTGGAATTGCATTGAACTTGTAAATTGCTTTTGGTAGAGTGGCCACTTTAATGTCTTCTCCTATTTCTTTAAAGGCATTTTGTAGTTTTCCTTGTATAGGTCTTCACCTTCTTTGTTAGGTTTATT